ATTAGGTATGTATACCCTAGAATCCAAGTTAGATGTTCTTTTTACTATTTTTAAAGTTTTATTTATTTCTTTATGAGTGAGACAGATTGATTTTTTTAATTATTATTTTTTTTTAGCTTTTATTTTTGACAGGATCTTGCCTTGTTATTATCTTCCTACCCTGGCTAAGACTACTGGTATGCACCACCATACCCAACCTATCTAGATTGGGCTGGGAACTGAACTTGAGCCTCCTCTGTGACCTTAACCTCCTTTGAGCAGCAATATCTTAGCAGTGTGAGGACTGTAGGACTGAACCTTTACTTTCTATAATGGACAATATTAAAGACACAAAAATAGAGAAAGATACTATAGTGATCCTTAATTTACTTATCATCTAGTTTCAGGCATCAACTTGCTGCCATTCGTATGTTTTTGTTTCTTCTATGCCCTTATTAAAATTATTAACATTGGGAACCAACAGATGGTGTAATGGCTATGTTGCTAGACTCCTGTGCAGTCGACTGCGGTTCGAGTCCCAGACCCGGTGGCTTAAACTCACACCAGGTGCATGTACGTGCATTCTCAAGATCTCAAGAGGAGAATGGAGGAAAATGGATTGCAGCGTGGCCATCCCTCCCGGGGGGTGACTTCTCACTTTCTGTCTCTCTGTCTTTGTGGCGATTGCACACATCCTATTGCAAAAACCTCATCAAAAAAAAAAAAATTATTGACATATTAGGCAGACTATAGATGTGTAAGTTCATCAATAGTATTTTAAGTTATATCTCATCTATGAAACCTTTTATTTAAAAAAATTTTATGTAAAAACTGTAAGGTGTTTATTATTATAAGAAATATTCAACTAGGAGTGATATCCAAACCAGCATCTTGAGTTTCCATAAAAATAAAATCTTCTGTCTCAGCAAAAGAAATATTGACAACAGCACCAGAATCCCCTATTTCTAAATGTGAAGGATTTTCCTGTTCATAACTCAGGTTTGAACTGTCTTTTGTCTGAATCTCTTGCTCTTCCAACTCCAGAGGTTTATTAGAGACTGAAGCTACTTACAGCTTCATCTTCATTTTCAGATAGAAAACTATACATCATGTTGGGTCTGGAGGGAAAATTGTTATCCTTGATTTGCAGCCATTCCACACCACCTATGTTTTCTTCTCCTTCCTTCTTTTTTATAAGAAGAGTTCTTGTCATGCTTAGCTTGTTCATTGTATGGCATTTATATCTTAACACTGTTTTATTATTGCTTTCTGCATCCGCATGTTCAACATTTTCTTCAAATATAACAGAAGTTCCAGGAGTATCTTCATACTTCCCAGCAAAAATATAGTTTTCCACTTGCAGAATTGACCTCTCAGTGTTAGTTCCCAAAATCTTGCATTTATTATCACATTTTGAGATAAAGTCTGAGTCAGTAATTTCCGAAAATTCCATCGAAACCAACTGCTCCTCCTCTTCCTTCTCTTCATCAACCTCCCAAATCCGCTTCTCCCCAGCCATTATGGTCCCACAACCTGTTTGTATTCTCCTGAGGCCTTTTAAAATAAACATAACTACACCTTGAGTACACTCAATAAAGTTAATTATTATTCTGTAAGTGTTCTTCATTACCTAGACAATGTTCAGTTTTTTCTGGTGTCAAAAATACGTTTTAAGGGACCAGCAGTTAGCGTAATGGCTATGTCGCTGGACTCCCATGTAGTCGACTGCGGTTTGAGTCCCAGACCTGGTGGCTTAAAATTCACACCAGGTGCGTATGCGTGTGTGTATTTGCCCAAGATCCCAAGAGGAGAATGGAGGAGAATGGATTGCGGCAGGGCCAACTCCCCCGGGGGGGGGGGGGGGGGGGGGGGGGTCCCCTGGTGGTGGTGGTGGGGGGGAGGGGCTGATTTCTTGCTTTCTGTTTCTGTCTCTTTCTGTCTGTCTGGCAAGTGCACACGCCCTATAGCAAAAATCTCTCAAAAAAAAATGTTTTAAAAGGAAGAATGTTAACTTTCTTATGTGTTGGATAGTGGTACAATGGATTCCAAAATAATGTTTAGGCAAGTACCCATTAAAATCTTCTAAATCTTATTTTAAATTTAATTCATTATTTCAGTATCCGAACACAGTTCTCACTTTAGGTTATTTTGGTTAAAGCTTTTGTATTTTATAGCAATAAAGATCTCTCACCCTTTAAAAATTTGTCTTTTATTTGCTGTACAAATGAAGCCTACTGTCTTGCTTCACATTTTGGATTTAGGTGATGGCCTTGTGATAATGGTATTTCCTTTAAATTGGGACTAAGACCTAGAAAAATGACTAAGTATTGGTTTTGGGTTTATTTGTTTTGGCAAGAATACTTTCAGCACATAAAGAAGAATGTAATGCCTAGAGTTCCAGTTTTACTGGATAAGACTGAAAATTAGTGTCTTATCTGATCTATTGCTTTATAAAGTCTTCTTCAGTTTTTCACTTGATCAGTGTTTCATTAAGTGTTGGAATATTTTGATTTTTAATTCTGTCATTCATTTTCCATTTACTGTTGTGCTCGCCCTGATTAGCTGTTTGTTTTTCTGAAATACAGTTTTCCACGGCACAACATAAACTCTATGAGTAGAAAGCCAGACCCTGCATGACTGACTGCAGTTCAAATCCTGGCCTGGCAGCTTGAAAAACATGCCTGATACATGTACTTGACAGGGTAGAGAAATGGAGGAAAAAGGATTGTGGCCATGCCCTCTTTTGGGATATTTACTTTCTTTCTCTGGCTCATATTCCCTTTGACAAGAAACAAACATAACCCCAACATCATTATCACATCTAAGAAAACAGTAATACTTTAGTATAGTCAAATATTCTATCAGTGCTATTTCTCTGATTTTCTTTTCTTTTTTTAATAATTTGCTTGACTTGTTTACAGAAAGCCATAGTTCGGCTAGCCGGTGTGTGTCTTCAGTTTACTTTTGTGTGGAAGAACCCAGGTTGCTTGTCCAGTAACTCCCCACTGTATAAAACTTCATGATTTTTCTTTGCACCTTTTATTTGCTACAAATTTGTAGTAAGGTTTAAGAATATGATCATATTCTGTTTTTTGTTGGGGTTGTTTTTTCAAGACCATCTCATGTGGTACTGTAGGCATTTCTATCTGGAGGTACATAATTTCTGATTGTCTGAAAGCATATAGTCAGCATAATAGTAAAGAACTCCTCTAGTTGATTCTTCTTTCCCTTTTTGCTATTACATGATGTTTTCAAATTAAAGGGTATCCTTAACAAACTTTTTTTCTTTCAGAATATTAAAATCTGGAAGTTAATATTGGCAAAAACATCTACATCACCCTCTAATTTGTTAGTCTGGGCACTAATCTCAGTCTTTATTTTCTGGATTTGATGGTTTTGTGAGAATTACCTTTTTTTTTTTTTTAACGAAACTTAAATCCATCCTGTTTTGTAAGAAGCACCCTCAGAGAGTAGGAGCTACTCTCCCTGCTTGTTACTTCAACATTGCTGTGTTGAAGGGCGGGGGAGTTGATAGGTGTTTCAGAATTGTCTACATAGCTTTTACATATGTCTGAATTCTAAACTACAAGTATACAGTTTCTTTCAGTGATTCTTCAGTTCATCTGAGTGACCTAGAATCTCAGAACCAAATAGATGTTCCTTGGAAATGAAAGATAATGTGTGGTTACCTAGAGATTCTTTCTTGGCCACTTTCAGAAAGCAGTGCACACAACTTTTTGGATACATAAAGTAGAATTTCTAGATCATATGGTAGTATGGTGGTTCTTTGGGGGGAGCGGAGTCATCGGGCACTTGGGCTCACCAGAGAGACAGACAGTGAGAGCAAAAGTAAGAAATCTCCCCCAGGAGAGATGGTCATGCAGCAGTCCCGTTCTACATTCTCCTGGGATTTGGGGCATGCACACACACGTGCTCAGTGTGATTTTCAGGCCAACAAATCTGGGACTGAGACTACAGTAGGCCATGTGGGAGTCCAGCACCTTAACTACCACACTTCCGGCATTTAACATTTTTTGAGGAATGTCCATATAATTTTTCATAACGACCATACCAGTTTATATTCTTAATGTACAAGGGTTTTCTATTCTCCATACTTGACCAACATTTGTCATCTTCTGTCTTTTTTATAATAGCCTCATTGTGGTTTTGATTTGTGTTTCCCTCATTAGTGATGTTGAGCACGTATATCTGTTGGCCATTTGGTGTCGTTTTTTGGAAAAATGTCTGTTCATGTCCTTTGGCTATATTTTTTCCCATTACTAAAGAGAGCATGTGCTTCTGAGAGTACACTCCAAAAGGGTATGATCATCCAACCTTCTTATTATCTCCATCTTGTAATTTTGGCTACGCGTGCACATGTGCCCTGCATGTTTCTCAAGCCACCAGGGCAGGGATTTAAACTGGGTTCAACCATATGGGATCCTCTTCCTTAACCACTAGGCTATAGGACCAGCCCCTTTGGCTATTTTTTAATCAAATGATAAATTTTGGTATTGAATGCCATGATTTTCTGGTATATCTTGGTTATGTCCTTAAATTTCTGCTTTTAAAGATATAATGTGTTTTTAGGTGTGAGTGAGTTTCTGTATGTTACTAGCACTTGGTTTCTAAGGTTTCCAATATTATCATGGTCACTAAATTGATGTGAAGGAGACATATTTAGAAAGCAAGCATTGCTTCTTGGTGAGAAAGGTGAACATTATAGGCAGGCTTCGTTAAACTACTTAGAATCCAGAGGGATAAACACATGTTCTGGACAACTCAAGGGGTTTATGACTTTTCTTTTTAATAATTATTTAACTTTCTTTCTTTCTTTCTTTCTTTCTTTCTTTCTTTCTTTCTTTCTTTTAATTTGATTGGAGAAGGACAGAGAGAGAGAGAAAGTGAAAAGGTTTTTTTGATTTCTTAGTAATTTCATTTTGACAGTTGGTCACACTGTAACCTTTAAATGACCTATGTGATATCTTTCTCATTTTACAGCATCCTGAGGTTAGCATTAATCTCCAGTGGAGCCCATGACTTCTGATCAGGACGCTAAAGTTGTGGCTGAAACGCAGGGCGCGTGTGGCGGAACCGCAGGCGCAGCGAGTCCAGGAGGGCAAGGACAGCTCTCATCTGGTAGGTGCCTGGGAAGGGAAGGCTGGGAAGGCTGTTTGGCTTTTCTATGATAAAGAAACTCTACCAGGGATTTTTTATTTATTTATTTATTTTTAAATTACCAGAAGGTACCGTGTGCTTACCAGAGACACGGAGAGGGAGAAAACGCCCCCCTCAATGGGATGTGGTTATACCACAGTCCCTCTCCCTGTCTCCATCCTGTTTGGATTTGGGACATGTACACACACACAGACCTGGCATGTTTCTGAACTACCAAGGCTGAGCTTTGAACCTAGGTTGGTCAGCCACATGTGATCCTTCCTGCTCCCCAGCCACTACACTACAAACCTGGCCTTCTTCATAGAATTTAACAAGATTTAAGCAGTAACATTGTAGTTTCTTAGTATCTATGTATAGATATTGTGGGCTTATAGGGGATAAAAGATTTCTCACCCATCTGAGGTTTGTGGCTGAAACCCCATGAGAAGACAGATTAATGAGAAAAGCATACACATTTATTTAGAAATAACTTTTATGTGATATAGGAGCCTTCAGAAATGAAAATCCAAAGAAGTAGGGAAAACTATTTTATGTTGACTCTGAAGGAGAGTGAGTAGAAGTGGAGATGCATGATTGGACAAAAGAGACGATGCTCTGTGGAGAACTTGGCAAGGCTGTTCATATTTTTCTTAGTATCTTGTGTGACATTGCTCTCTTCCTGGTATACAGAAGAATGCCTCTGGGTCAGCTAGGTTTTACGGCTCGCTTTCTTTGTAGTTTCTAGGACTTGATTCTGCTGTTTCCTCAAATGCCAAGCTGCTGTGTTTTATACAATGTCCTGAACCCTGTCAGACTATGAAAATGTATGGGTAGTTTAGTAGAGGAAACTGTAGATACTAGATGATAAAGGAAACAAAATAATTATAGCTCTAAATGTATGAAGGCTTTATTTATTTATTTATTTTAGTTTTTTAGGGTGCGTGCATTCACTAGAGAGAGAGAGAAAGGGAAAGTGAGAAATCATCCCCTAGGAGGGATGACCACACTACAGTCTTTTCCTCTGTTCTTCTCTTGGGATTTTGGGTACACATGCACACATGCCCAGAGTGATTTTCAAGCTGCTGGGTCCGGGAACAGTGCTTGGCCATGTGGAAGTTCAGTGCCTTAATCACCATGCCACCTTTTGGCCCTTAAAGCCTTGTATATTAAATTGGGAAAATGCAGTGATTTATAAATATTATAACAACATTATAGCTCAGCATAGTAGAATATATTTAAAGAGTTAAATAAGATTGTAATGTAAATTTTAAAATTTTGACTACTGTCATTAATTATAAAATAATAATATGTGAAGCAATAACATTTAAAATTTCTAAATGGCTTTTAGGAAAGCAGCTTTCATTAATTTTTCCCACTGAAACCATAAGGAGTTTTATTTATGTATCAGAATTTCAAAATTGTAAACATAGGGCTCCCACTTAAAATAAGCCAGATATCCTGGTCCATCAGATGGTGTAATGGTTATGTCACTGGATTCCTCCATAGTTAACCATGGTTCAAGTCCAGACCCAGTGGCTTAAAACTCACACGTGTGCATGTATGCCCAAAATACCAAGAGGAGAATGGAGGAAAAGGGATTGCAATGTGGCCATCCCCCTGGGAAGTGATTTCTTGCTTTCTATCTCTCTGTCTCTCCAGCGAATACACGCACCCTACAGCAAAAATCTCTCAAAAAAAATTAGCTAGCTAATCTTAAGAATTCATGAATTTTCTAGAATAAAAATGCACATTTCTCATTGGATTTGTTTTTGCCTAATTATTATAGTTCAAAAATATGTTTTAGTTACATTGTAATGATGGTGTCTTTAATGTTTCAATTTTACAGATGAATGGTCCTATATCTCAAACCACTTCTCAGACAAGTTCCATCCCAGCTTTGAGTCAGGTAAATCGATTCTGAGATTAATCATGATTGTTTAATCATACCAAAGCTCACTAGTATTTCATTATGATATGTGCTTGCTGTAAGAAAACAATTAGAAAATGTAGAGAGACCCATTCAACCCTGTACCTCTTAGGTACAATAAATGTCAATAACAGTATGTTCTTTCCTAGTTTATGTGTGGGTGTGTGTTGTATGAATAGCAATGTGCCACATGTATTAGCTTATCATGGAATATTTATCATATTTAACACACTATTTTTAATGTTTCATTGATAATCACTTGTGTGTACATGATTAACCTTACACTTCACTAGCCTAGGTTGTATTCTTTAAAACACACAAGCCAAATAGTAGACTTTTACTGATAAATTTGTTTCACACTTTAGCTGTGATTAATAAAACAATAAGGAAATAAAAATCCATGAATTTTGAAATCCTACTTTTTATCATTTGCATATGTGCACAAAAAGTACATTTGGACCTACTGCAAATATGGCTTTATAATCCAAGAATCTTAAAGATATTATATTTAAAAATTTATTTTTTAAAGTTTGAAAATAATTTCACGGGAACCAGCAGTTAGCATAATGGCTATGTTGCTGGACTCCCACGTAGTCAACCGTGGTTCGCGTCCTGGACCCAGTGGCTTAAAACTCACGCCAGGCACGTGTGCGTGCGTGCCCAAGATTCCAAGAGGAGAATGGAGGAGAAGGGATTGCGGTGTGGCCATCCCCCTTGGGGGGTGATTTCTCGCTTTCTGTCTCTCTCTCTCTGGCGAGCGCACGCACCCTATGGCAAAAACCTCTCAAAAAAAAATAATAATTTCACAAAATTTATAGTTGGGACCAGCAGTTAGCATAAAGGCTATGTCGCTGGACTCTCACGTAGTCGACCACGGTTCGCGTCCCGGACCCAGTGGCTTAAACTCACACTGGGCGAATGTGCGTGCGTGCCCAAGATCACGGGAGGAGAAGGGATTGCGATGTGGCTATTGCCCCTAGGGGGGCGATTTCTCACTTTCTATCTCTCTGTCTCTTTCTCTCTATCTGGCCAGTGCACGTGCCCTATAGCAAAAACCTCTAAAAAAAAAAATTATAGTAAACGTCATATATTACCCCAAGTTATGAGTAGTTCATGAAGAAATTAAAGGAAGAATTGGGTTGTTGATCTACTTTTAATAAGATGGAATTTTAAAAAATAAGATTCCTTCTAAACTTATTGTTTAAGTAGGATTTTTATTTGTGTTATTTTTGCATTGATTTTTCTAGATGAATTTTATAATTCATCAATTTTAAAGTTATTTAAAATCCAAGTATAAGATCTTTGATAAGAGGAAATTCTGCAAAGAAATAGACATTGCTTGAATGTACAGATCTTTGGAGGTCTTATTGTTTGTTTTAACAAATTCCTGGCCTCCCCATGGTCGATTAGCAGCTCAGCATAATATTTAGACATCTTTAAAAACCCATTATAGGACTCAGAGTTAGATTTTAGATTCTTAGATTTTTTTTTTATTTACTTGCTTTAATTGCTTTAGTGGTTAGAATCAAAATGAGATTTATCTAGTAAAAATTGAAACCCTTGAAGTAGAATTCAGTATATAATTTCTGTGGAGATATATAATCTGTTCTGCCTGCAACCTACTACCATTGGCCTTTCTAACACCACAGAATGCGGCCAGTCACAGCCCTGTTCTCAAAGTCTCTGTGGTTTGGGCAGACTTCATCTTTGACAACACTTGGCTGTAACATGCAAATATGATAGTTGCCAGTTTTACAGGATTTTATGCACATTAGGTGTTCATAGGACCCTGAAATACTGGAGCTGAACATCTGGGCTTATTAAGTGTGCCCTTTGAATCTTGATGCAATTTTATGATCATAACAGAAAATAAAAATCTATAAAATAAAAGAGCTCAAACCACAAGGTTGGCTACTAGCACCTGGCTGCCTTCACCAGACCATTGAACTGGCCCTTTTCTTTAAATAGATTGCCAATGAGAAGGTGGCAAAAACCTGCAGAAAAATTTAATCTGCAAGATAACTGTAAGAGCAGGTAGATGTCATCTGCATCCAAAAACTTTGTTAACTACATCCCTGTTGAAATACAGTACACATAGAAATGTGTGCAGATCATATGGCAGCCTTCAGTAGGCACTCACATTCTTACATATATGTATTGAAGTGTAGTACATATAGAAATGTGTGTTGATCATCAGTGAATGATTGTGAAGTAAACAAATCTAGGGAATCAACAATCTCAGTCCTGAAATATACCTTAAACCCTCAGGGTTTTGGCTCCAGTCTTAAAACACATTGTGATTATAGAAATTATAAGACTATGAGAGAGATGGGACCAGCAGTTAGCGTAATGGCTATGTCGCTGAACTCCCATGTAGTCGACCATGGTTTGAGTCCCGGATCCGGTGGCTTAAACTCACGCCAATTGCATATGCGTGCGTGCCCAAGATCTCAAGAGGAGAATGAAGGAGAAGGGATTGCAGTGTGGCTATCCTCCCTGGGGGATGATTTCTTGCTTTCTATCTCTCTGTCTTTTTGGCAAGCACATGCACCCTATTGCAAAAACCTCTCCCCAGAAAAAGAAAGGGACCAGCAGTTAGTGTAATGGCTATGTCGCTGGACTCCCATGTAGTTGACCGTGGTTCGAGTCCCGGACCGAGTGGCTTAAACTCAAGCTAGGCGCATGTGCGTGCGCGCCCAGGATCTTAAGAGGAGAATGGAGGAAAAGGGATTGCAGCGTGGCCATTCCCCCGGGGGGGGGGTGATTTCTCGCTTTCTGTCTCTCTCTGTCTGTCTGGCAAGCGCACGTGCCCTATAGCAAAAACAACAACAACAATAACAAAAAACTATGAAAGAGATCATCTTTGAATCAGCGAACTTTTGCAATCAAATACTTCAGAAAGTCTCATCAGAAGGATTGACTTATAAAGCTCAGTTTCTCAGATGATCAGGCTGTTTGGGGCTTCTCATTCCCATGAAGGTAGTGCCTCTCACTGCATTACCCCAGTTATCTCCTCATTGGTGCCTTTTGAGGATCCCTGTGCAAAGGCTCCATCAGAACTCATCACTCCTTTGCTCAAAAATAAGTCAGCACTAAGTCCTAACAGGGCCATGGCCCTCCCTAGTTTGGCACATGCCCCCTCCTGACCTCGTAGCCCTCTAGCTCTCCCCACATACTCTACCATAGTTCCACTGGGCTCCTTGTTCCTGTGCCATTCCACTAGTACCCTACTATGGGACTCCCTGTCTTGGCTGATCCTGTTGTACTCCTTTCCCAAGAGTCTGCAATGCTTGATCTCTTTTATAGATTTTGGCTTGTGTCTTACTTTCCTAGTGAGCCTTATCCACGTCAACTTCCTTTCTGTTGGTCTGCCCCAGTCTCCTCTTCCTGTACCATTTAACATATAATAACATGGTTAGGTGTTTATTTTGTTCGGTGTCTGTCTTGGAGTAGAATGCAAGTTCCATCAAAGCTGGTGTTTGGTTTTGTTTATTAGTGTGTCTCACTTTCTACCTGGCAGTCTAGGTGCTCAGTTAAGTGTCTCCTAAATGAAAAAAATAAATAGCATACTTTTATGGTACTGATGATGTATCATGTAGTATTCTAACACTTAACATTTATTAATATTAATTCATTTACTCCTATTAGCTTTGTTCCTAAGTACTGTTATCCCCATTTTACAAACAAGGAAACCAAAGCACAAAGAGGCTTCAGTAATGATCCCCAAGGTTTCTGAATAAATAAGTGGCAGAACCAGGATTTGAACCCATATAATCTGGCTTCAGAGTCTAAACTCAAGAGAAAATACTTTTTCTTTGGCATCTGTTAACACATTTAAAAAGAGAAATGAGAAAAATAACAAAACCCAGCTTTTACCTGTCATTTGACAGCTGCATGTATTCTTTCTCAGTGATTAAAAGCCTGAGATAAAACTGAAGGATATTTGGTGGGAAATAGCATGTTTGTGTTTTGTTTGTTTGTTTGTCTTTAAACATTTTTTTTCCAGAGTGCACCTGTTTGCCACAGAGAGACAAGAGGGAAGTGGGAGAAAGCACCTCCCAATGGAACATGGTCATGCTGCAATTCCTTTTCCTCTTTTTTCCAGCCTTTCAGGATCTTAGGCACACAGACATGCACACCCAGCACGTTTATCAAATCTCAGGACTGGGATTTGAATCATATGGTTATGTGGGATACAGCTCCCTTAGTCACTTGACCATGGGGCTGGCCCATGACTTATATTTAAGAAAGATTATTTTGACTTCATTATGTTAAGAAAGTGGATTAAAGTGGGTCAAGAAGGAAAGCAAAACAAAATAAAACCCAAACCTAAAAAAACTACTAAGTAACGATAATGAGAAATGATGGAGGCTTACATTAGGAATGAATGAAATTCAGATTTATCCAATTCACAAGTTAGTGGATTGGATATGAAGTGAGGGATAACTGAACCACCTGATCGATGATAAGTTTATTTATTTTGAGTTGAAGTAAAAGTTTGTAGAGGGAAACTGCACCTGGTAGAAATCCAAGCAAATGGTAAAGTGGACAGTGAGATCCAAGTTAGATCTCAGTAGAAAGATAAGAATTTGAGGTTATTAGAAAACAGATTGATGTTTCGGTATATGAATATAGAAATGACAGTTAAAACTACTACTTGAATATATGACTTAAGAGTGTACAATTATAAAGTATCAAGAGTTGATATTTACAATAAAATTAATTGTACTACTTTTTTGTTCCATGTAACTTTGTGCCATTATATTATCTTCATTGATTAATCTTTTTCCTAGTCACCTATATTATTTCCTATACAGATATTTGGAATTGGTTTATTTAAGAGGTTACATATTATATGATTTCAGATGTATGCATTTTATCTTGGGGAGCTTTAAGACCCATGATGGAGGCTTAATGGCAGAAATATGTTGATACTTCTTTGCAAGACATACTGTGCTAAATTGTAAATAAATTTTATT